TAGTAGATGAACTGAAACTGAGATTTCAGGTTCTCACAACAATGAGTATGAAGATGACTGACTGTCTTTTGGGCTGTTGCACCATGTAGTCTGGTAGATACTGCCCCAGTGATGGAAGCAGTAAGCTCCTATGAAATGTTGGTCACAATAAATAACCCACCTTCACAACTGAAATTATTGATCAAACAAATGTTCAAATTTAATGGACTTCAAATACCATTAGATCTTCAGGCACAAAATTTTTCTGTCCTTTCTGCAACCTCTTAATAGCTTTTGGACAAAATTGAAACATACGAGTCAATCTTCTGTGGGTACATATGTTCAAATCACACTAGCAGTAAAATGTTACAGTTGCAAAGTCAATAGAATACGTATGTAACCATCAGAGACCTTACTGAGATTTGACCTCATGCACATGAAGATGTTGACCGTAGTCTCCTGGGTTATGCCACTGTGTAATTTTGTAGGTCATTACCAACATTTCTCCTAAAACATCAAGCATCACCAACCATAATACTACAACTAACAGAGGCCTCACTGTTTCCATGTTTTGAAAATATCCACATTCAAATGTAAAGGAACATTTATCGTGAGACAATAGGAAGTTGTTTGTATAAACAATTTTAAAGATCATTTTATATTACAGTCTAATAAGAATTTAATCCCACTTTGGCTTCCAAGCAATTTTTGCTAGGTATAAATTTTATCCTACGACCAACCATTGACATCCCCCCTTCCCAAAAAACACTTATTGATACAACTGTGTGAAACACTGGTGGTGTTCATGCATGTTAATTAAAAGTTTCTGCAGCTGAATGTTTATCCTATCACCCTGAATAAAGGCTTAAACTTGCAGACAAAATCTTAGTCCCCTGTATGTTAAGGGTTAACGTGCATCATCACCAAGTAAAACAATGATGACCTGAACATTGCTACATAACAGAGCCACTTGCCATGTGTGACAAGCTACAAGCATTCTTAACACCAGATCCTGATGGAGCCAAGTGGTCAGCTTCATGTTCTGGCCATTTTATTCTCAATGAAAAATATCCCAGTGAACAGGAAGCTGGGTGGACACAGAGCTGGTATGGACACATTGGATAAATTAAAAATCCCTTTCCCTGCTGGGAAAAACATACCTGTCATCCATCCCGTGGCAAGACATCTTACTGACTGAGCTATCTCAGCCTCTGGTAGCTTGCCTGTGCAGCAGTGAATTATTAATGTTACAGGACAGCATACAAAACAGCAAAGGAATTAACATACCTCATCAATAGACTGTGAAGACGTTCCATCTTCTTTCTCGGCTTCATAAAAGACTCGACGATGTGAGACTGTTGAATAATATGCAATCTTAGTGAGAGACCCACCTGAAAAACAAATTATGTACAATCATTTATAAAGATCACATGTCAATTGCAGTCTTAGGGCTCCTGCTTCATATTCAAGAAGTCTTGACAAGAGACAAACTATCCCAACTAAGGTGTTTTGAGGTTTGCATCAGTCCCTCCAAGCAAATGCCAGAATCATACCATGAATTAGATTACAGGCACTTCCTTCCAATCTTTTCAATGTGGTCTCACCTAATGTGTCACATTGGTATTAGCAAGTATATGAATTTGGAACAGTCTTCAATGACATAACATCCACATCAAGTTTCACTGAAATCTGCCTAGTGATTCTCTGCTTTTTAAATGCACACAGACAGATACCACAAGTGACATCATCATCATCATCATGGGCATAACACATATGTGCAGGGGGTCATGGGTAAAGATGTTGTCATTGTTCCACTTCACGACCATGAGCATCCATCACATTGGTATTGCCAACTGTCCAAATAAAAAAGTTTTTATTGTGGATTAAGCTCTTCATACCAAATTTCATGAAAATCCATTAATTTCAAGTTACATGCAAATAGATGAACATCATCGAATATGAGCTTCTATACCAATCAACAATCCAACACTGCATCCACACAGGATTATGGATAATGGTGTCCTTATCATCTCAAATCATGACTTTGAGCATCTCACATGTTGGTATTAGCCAGTGTAGGAAATTAAGAATGAGTCTGGAATAGTCTCCAGTGGAATGACATCTTTACCAAATGTCAACAATTCAGCCTCACCTTATTCTTTGCAATCACCCATACCAAAACACTACTCAGGGATGCCAGCACTGCACATACGTTACCAGAATAGGTTTTAATCATAAAAAAATACCTCTTCCCAAGAGTGAAATTAGAATCCACTATCATTCTGACAGGTTATGTTCCTCTTGTTGAGTTATTTCAATCTACTTTTCACAAACTTCCAATACTATCATACTTACCTGGAGTATGATATGGTAGGAAGAAGCTGCCACATATCTGCATTTTTAGCATTAAAATAATACAAATTCTTGTAAACAGAACCCTAACTTAGTGACAGGGAAGTGGCTAAGGAATGTCAGTAGGATTCTGTGTATGTTTTCAGACTTTATACAAACTAAAAGACCATCCATGATACTCAGTTGAAACTTATTGTCATTAGACCTGAATAATCTTCTCACTAAAGTGAGATTCAATAGCATAGTATTACAATCATAATAAAAATATTAAAAATATTTCTCTCCTTTTAGCTTGTATTCTTATAAGCTATGCAAGACTAAGACAATCATAGTGCACTTTGCATGCATGTCTGTTTGAGGGTTATGTTATGATGTGGTGAGTTTGGGCAAAGAGGCTTGCAGACAAACATTTCCATAATGGTGAAAAATACCTACATTACTCAGCAAAGTCACATATTTTGATACGGTAAAATTTATGATCAGGCATTTTCCTTGGAATTTTAGACATAAAAATTGATAATACATCATATAAAAAAATATCTTGTATACTTATGAAACCTACTTAACATTACCATATAAAGCATTGATTTCTGTAAGTTAGATGTATAGCTGTAAATTATTTGTAATTCAAATCATACTGTCAGCCTTAAAGTTAAATAGGCAAATGAAGCTACTTGTCAAGTATTTCTTGCATTTACACTTACAAAACAATTTTGTACATTACCTATGTCAATTGCGAACCTTTTCGCATTTTTTAAATTTCCAAAAACTTCCACAGTATCAGGTAATTTGATACTTTTGGGATGACTCTTTATATCCATTCCGTTCTGTACACATCAATTATACGTGTTACAAACATAGCTTCCGCCGATTTCACGGCTGTGAAGGACACGAAGATAAGCAATGTTAGTTCCAAAAATGTGAAACAATAGTACCATAAATATCTTGATGCGGTAACAAAAAATATACTTATATAACCTCACTCCTAACATACTAAACAAACCCTCGTTCCTTTGTGTACTAGACACATATGCCACTGAACTACGTACGTAGATCGGTCCATTCACACACGAACACACGGATATGCACCAGGGCGTGCATGTGGTATAGGTCCAAACATTAAACTATTATTCCATGGGTCTAAACAAATGTTGGTATTGTCTGTGATCCAAACTTTGGTATTGATCTATGGATCGAAACATCTCTCATAGGCAGTATGTTTTGATCAATCATGTAAACAATAATTAACTGAAAATGCCACTTCAGGAGAGAATGTAATGAGGATAACTAAAACTTTAATTAAAAAATATACCAAACGCAATGCGCATGTTGGGGCACATTAATTTTTTTTAATTCAGCTGTCTGTTTTTCACGGTTAACTTACCAGCCATTCGTCCAAACTCTTCTTTCTGCCACATACCTCAGCTGCAATTACCTACTTCTTTACAATTTTGAAATCCCAATAACGTTAAAGGTAGTCACTACAATTTAATGTACTTTCAATGCACTCATGGTAGGGAAAATGAAAATGGCGCCACAACCCAGAAGATAGTAGAAATAAGCTGGAACAGAAATTACCTTGAAAAATTCAAAGGCCTCTATTCGGCAAACCCTTGGGCTGATATTGCCGTGACCTTAACCTGGTCGTGACCTCAACTTGACATGAGTATTGTTATTCATATACCTAGTTGGGAAGAAATAAGCGAGAAAAAATGATCTTCAAATGGCCTTGAAATATTCAAAATGCCTCTATCTGGTAAAGCTAATAAAGCCATGACCTTGACGTGACCTTCACCCATCCGACATATTCACATAAAACTATGAATATAAAAGTACTTTGGATTAATTCTAATTGGGATACATAATTTACACTCAACATGGTAATATCCTCAATAAACCTTGTTAAGGTTTAATGGTATGGACATCCTGGGTTTGCTCTGGTTACCCACTAACTAGATGGCTTACCGAAACCGAAGGTTCAGCACCGAATTAACCCAAAGCCCTCCACCAGACCCTGTCCTGGGCCAACAAAATCCATTCTCCTTCAACTCCTATCTCCCATAGATCCCGCCTGACATTATCCTCCCATCTACGTCTGTCTCCCCAGCGGTCTCTTCCCTCAGGCTTCCCAACCAATACCCAGTGCACACCTCTATGCGCGCTACATGCCCTGCCCATCTCATTCTTCTCAACTTAATCACCCTGACAATATTGGGGGAGGAGTACAGATTTTTAAGCTCATCATTATGCAGCTTTCTCCATGCCCCATCGTTTTTTCTCTTAGGCCCAAATATCCTCAACACCCTATTCTCAAACACCTGCAATCTGTGTTCCTCCCTCTGGGTGAGAGACAATGTTTCGCACCCATACAACACAACAGACAAAATTATTGTTTTGTATACTTTAATTTTCAGGTGGGAAGACAAAATATTTTGAACTGAGAAGTAGCAAGCATTTCCAGAATTTAGTCTTCTCCTAACTTCCTCATGAGTATCATTTTGATTTGTTATTGTTGTTCCCAAAGAATTGAATAATAAAATTATCAATCATTGTCTTACTATATACATTTTGCTAAAAGACATAATACATTTTAAAAATTATGGTGAGAAAATAAGACTACTAAATAATATTCAGATATTTGTAAGACATCAGTGAAATGTTAAACAGAATTAGTTTTAATAATTGGTATTTAATGTTCTATCTTCATGTTCAACTTGCTGTAGTTTTCCCAAGGCCATTATGATGTACAAATCATTCATTTGACAAATGAAGGTCCAGAGCAGAAGATGAAAGATAAAGACATCAGATATTCCATTACCATGGAAACTGAAGTTTTTTTTAACTGTGCACTTCTGGTTTCTCATGGTGCCTGAAAACATATGTAAATTATAAATTTTATTGCTATGATCTTTGGTGACCAATTGACCACCACTTTCTGTTTTAAAGCATCCACATCAATCCAGGGTGATGTCCTGTCTAACTGTATCTTTATATTTATTTATGGATAACAATTAAAATATTAATTTTCATTACCAATATATGGTACATAGAATCTGTATTTTATATTCTTTGGGATCTAATCTGAAAGAACTATCCTTTAATTAATAACATGACCAGAATTAAGATTTTGTAACATCTAGTAAATCTGGCCCATTACAGTTTATAAACCCTTTTTGTTTTTATCATCTATTGGTGTGTAATATTGTATTTACATGTTGCATTTTACTGTTTGTTGTATATAAATGCTGAGATCTAAATATAAGACATGAAACATTCAAACAAAGTAACATAAATTGTGATGAAAGGCCTATTACATCCTAAATTCTTTTGCAGATTTCTAAAACAAGAGCAGCACTCATTGTTCTTTACAAACCCTGTTGAATTAAACAGCAACTTTTGTGACTATCACAAAAAATAATTTCAGTTCATAGAAGTAACACTTTCTTGATCACAATATAACACAAATACTTACATGGAAATGGTTTTGGTTGGTTTTTGTACAAAATATAAATACTTGTTAACAATACAAGTTCCAAAAAAATATTTAGTTATGTTACTGAGCCATGCTCAACAGACAGGTATAAACATGAATGCTGCACACAACTGGATGTTAAATGTGCTCTTTTGCCATCCGAAATTACCATTCAGTTTCTCTCACATAATTTTCTCACGTATAATTCAGATCTGAAACAATGAATAATTAACAAGATTTTTAGTCTGCTCCCAGAAGAAAATTTTGTTTGCAAGATGAGGAATATGAAATACATGCAGACATATATTAATACACAATTAGAAATATTAACTTCAGGGTTCCACATTTTATAATCAGAACTCCATCTTATGTTTGCAATAAACAATAACAGTACATAGTGTTTATGTAATTCTGTGTTTATCACTAAGACTGTAATTTTTAATTTTACATTTTAAGACATTTATTTAATTGAGAATTTCAAATTAGATGGGTATCCACCTGGTATGTCATTCTTTGTAGCCATTAGGTATCTGTCAAACTGTGAGATAATTTTGCCTAAGAAGAATCATTTCCATTTGCAACACAAGCTCTGTATGTTCAGCACCTTTTGTCGCACAAAAGAATGTAAATATCTCAGAGTTCTGACATGTAATTTTAAACAGACTGGCAGTATTTATGCTGCACTTTTCCGAAACTTGAAAGCATATTTGTAACAAACATCGCATGCAATGATTTCTTAAACAACATGAAGGCAATTCACAAATGTCACCATTTCCACCAGTTTTAACAAGAATCCCTTAAATCTTGATAGCGTAGGAAAGCCAAAGGTATGTTTTCTAAAAAATTATTATTAAGTCAATGCTACATAAATTACATTAGCTGAACAACCAATATTATTCAAAAACCAAATAAAATATTCTGTAGGAAATATTTTCACCTATATGATTGTTAAGTGTTTGAGTTTCAATTTTAATGTTAACTTTTCTGCATATGATGTGTAGTTTAATTCCAGAAGTATTGTCTTCATATTTTGTTGCATCTATGATTTTCACTAATATACAGGCAACTGTATAAAATAACTTACATTACTTCTGATTCACAAACAATGTGAAAGCTGATTAATTTTGCAAGAATCCATCACCTCAAAAATGATAAAACTACCAGCTGAGAAGACGAGATTCTTAGGAAGATGTAAAAAAGATGAAAAAATTCTGTATTGTAATAACAAGCCAACTATGAAGAACAATGGTTTACTTCTGTAACATCTGATTCAAAAGTATGCCTCACCATACTGATTTGAACTTGAATTTTCATGATAAACATTTACTGAAACAACATAAATATATAGGCTGACTGCTACACAAAATGTAATAATTCAGCCATCTAGCACTACTCAAATACCTACCATACATTAAGTGTGAAAGAACACAGGCTTATCTTAGGCAAGCCACAAGCTAACGATGTAGGTGTATGAGCAAGTATCTCAAGTGTGATCAAAATCAGACCAATAATTCTTGAGTTATGAGATAACACGATATGAAAATCCATTTTGTTTACTTATCTCAAAAAACTCAAGACTTAAGGAAAAAGCATACTGAGTATAAAGTATGTTTCACTTTATCTACAACTTTTCTTTGAAATGTGTTTTGCTCTGATAAGTATAGCAAGTTCCAATAAAGTTATGCACAGAAATGTGTGAAGGTCTTCCAGAAAAGTGGGTGTTACTTTGTTCATAAATGTCTATTATTAGAAAACTAAAGTAATTAAGTGCTTCCCAAATAGTCCTTGCCTGCATGACCCCACACAACTTCTGGTGACTGGAAAATATGCTGCCAATGAGTTAACCTCACCTATCTTGTTGGCAAAGGTTCCTTCTTGCCCCACTTAAACTTGGTTGACTGAAGAAGATTATAAGGGGCATAGCTGCAGAACTTGCTTGAAATGCCAGGAATGTAAAAAGCTCGGAAAAATGTGTGAGACCTGGAAAAATCAACAAATAAATACTGTACTAAGTTAGTCTCAAAATGTGATTTTTAATTCTTGAAATATAATATAAAGCTTTGTCAGATTTTCAACTGATAAAATAAACATTATGTCCAAAATCTGTCACTTCACTGGTATCATCAGAAAATAAAAATGATACTTTTTTCCTGTTAATACACAGTTTTAATTTTCTTCTAAAGTTAAACATGTGAAATGAAAAGTTCAATCTGCAAAATATTTAATATATACAAAGGTAAACAATTTTGTCTCTGATGACATTAATCTTGACTAGCCCAAGTATCACTTCCACATACCAAATTGGTCATGACAATATGTTAATGCAGGCCATAATTCTGAACTACAGTATTTAAATCTTAAAAATCAAATTTCATATACCTATAGTTTGTAGCATGGTGTGCTTAGGGGAGAATGGAGAAAATCACATAACAAAGAACTTACTAATTTCTATTCCTTTCTTATTATTGTTACGACTGGATAAGCATCTCAGATGGAAAAAAATACTGGCAAGGAAGTGTCTAGGAAAGTGAAAGTTTTAAAGAGAAAATGATAATAAATGTGTTCTTGTCCATGCTCATGTGTAGGTAAGAAAGGCAACCTCATAATAGTTATACTGTGATAGGACAGTATAACTGTTGATGGCTGGAAAAATTGCAGAAACAGATAATAATTTAATTCACCAGGGATGAATAAAATAAGAAAACTGAAAGATCACACTGGAATGAGAAATTCAAGCAGGTAAGCTGGATGGATTCTCATATAAATTTGGGGGAGGGGGAAACAACATAATAAAACATGTTCAATTTCCAAAGGCTAAAAATGTATATTTAAAAGGGACAATTTGTCTGATTGTTCTGAATACATATGCCTTGAAAGAATTAATTACATCTCAGTAAAAGGACATAACAGGTAAGCTTAAACACCATGTCTTCTGAAGATTACGGAATGGCCCTGTGCTGAAATCAGGAAAGTCAAGTTGTTATGTTGTAATGAAATGGATATAAACTCACCTTGCAGCATCTAAGAATGGAATAGACTTAATTACAGCCCATCTGTCAGTCTGTTGGGCATAGTTAGGTTCAAACTCTGTAGTGACACCTAAATCCAGGTCCACCAGAAAATGGCAGCGCTCTATGTCAAACTACAGACAAAAAAGCTGCTTTAATTTCTGTGAACATAAATGGTTGCACTGTATTTATTTAACTGTGTTTACTGCGTAATTTTTCCACCTGATGAGGAAATAAAATATTATCTTTTGTATTGTAGAAGTGTTTCCTTTCATTTACTTTGACATGATTATCATTGTTTAAACTGTTATGTTGCTTATATTTTTACTCCCTCTCCAAATGGACTGATGATTAAATTCTACTTCATGCTAAAAATAACCTTTACTGACTTCTAATTAAAAAGCTCTGGAGTCACTAATATCTTACTTAATTTTGTATTGTTTACACAGCTGTCTCCCTTCCCTTTTACACTCACCATCTCAATACACTGTCTGTCTACTTCAACAGTAGAATAAGTCACCAAGAAAAACAACAATGCATTTTGTCAAAACTAATTACACTCTTCAATTTGAAAATGTATTTTGTTCCAGCTTTAACACAGAAATTTTTAACAAGATTGAAATATGTACTCTCTAGAGTACACAAAAATTTCAGAGGTGTTCTTTATGCCACAATTGATAACATCAGCAGGGCAACCAACAGAATAACAAATATAACAATATCAAAAGCAACATTAATAGTATCCAAGGTCATTATTGCAACAGTAAAGGTATTCAAGCCTGCATTGAAAGATTACCTCTTTACTCACTCCTTCTATTCTGTAGATTATTTCATCTCTGCTGTAAATGTTTAAGCTTTATATCCATAATCTATGTATATGTAAAGCAAGTTTTGTAGTTATATTTAAAATTCTGAGGTTTATGTATTTTAATTTGTAAAATTATTTTTCATACTTGTATTGCAGAATCTGAAATTTATGTACATTGATATGTGAAATACGTTCTTGTACTTGTGTTGAAAGTTCTGAAGTGTATGTATATTGTATGAAATGACATGTTCTACATCCTTTGGTTGAGTCCTAAGAAGGATCTATGGAATGTAAATAAACTCTACTCTCTACTCTACTCTACAGTGTGATCAAAGATCACTGTTGCTAACAATGTGATGGATGTACCCATATGGTGTTCTTTGCTTATGCTGAAGTTCAAAAAACACCTTAAAAATAGTTCCGAAAGCATTATGCTTTTCTAATCTTGAGTGTGAATTACTAATACACCCCAAAATAAAATCCAGCCAGAAATTCCATTTGCAAACATTTAAAAATATGTACAAATGTTTTCCAATACAAATCAAACTCACATATCTGCTGGTCTCTTCCCTGTTTCCACTGTTCATGTGTGGAGGTATAATTGATGTTGCATTTGGCAGAGAACTGTATGGTTGTGGTAACTGTCCACGAAACTCAGATTTCAAAAACTGCAACTGCCATCTGAAATATCATATAATTAATTGATTTTTAAAAAACAAAGATGAAAAATTAGGAATAATAAGGTATAAACACTAGAAAAATATAACACTAAGACCTTCAATAAGTTGAAATCTAATAAGCCTGACTTCCATGGCAGAATTTAGTTTTAATGCCAAAATCTAGACATCACTGGGTTTAAACCTGAAACACTGATTTCAAATGCAAGCAATCAAGACAACTTAAATGGATATCACTTTCAAGGAGGAAAGAATGGTTTTGTTCACTTCAATAATGAAAATTATATGTGGGTTTTTGTTAAATAATCTTTTTATGTTAATTTATGTATGTGCAGCAACAACTCAGAGGCAAACTGATGTCAATGCTGATGTGTTTATAGACCTTTTCATTCTCATACACTATAGCTTGACCTTTGGACTAGTCTCAGGATTATAACTATAAGAAATTTGTCAGTAGTAGAAATTTATCATCAATTTGAGAAAGTGTATGAAAAAGATGTCATGAGCTGGCAGAGTGCAGCCAAATGGCATGCAGAGTTTCATAACTGAATAATGATTTCAAATGGCTTTGCAAAAAATTATACATTAATGACTACAGTTATAGCTGAATACACAGCATTAGTGATGATATTAATTCTTGATAAAGGAATGTAAGTGAATTTTCACACATACAACAATTGCTAACATCATCCATGACCTAGGGTTCTATAAACTCTGGGTCCTTAGGGCACTGATGAATGCTAAATGACATGGACAAATGTACTGTCACATGAGATGAATGTGGATTCTTTGCCATACTCTAGAAGCAAGCTGCATAAGCACGATATAATGTCACCAAAGATTGAGAAATCTGCTGCATAAACAATGAGTATGATGTTTTAGGACCTCAAGGCGTAGAAAGTAGCACAACAATTAAGTAATTCCTTGGTTTGCAACACTGAAATGCCTGCATATAGCTTAGTGTCATGCTCAACAATGTGCAACTGTACTCTGCCACCACAATCTAACAACTTCTAAACAGTTTGAATGGGAGATCTTAGAACAGTCTCCTTATAGTTCTGATGTAGCATCAAATTATTACCAGCACTAAAATAGAATCTGGGAAATTTAGAAGTGATGATAATTTGAAAACTAAACTAAAATGACAGTTGAAAGAACACTAAAACTCATCTCACTGTAAATCACTTTTTAAGAGGACTTTGTAGAGAAACAGTTCTGAAGGAGTACAAAGATAATGCATCATCCATATTGAGCATTCAGAGAATCACTTCAAGATGTATGCCTTATAAACTTCATTTCTGACTGGAATCATACATTTTTTTTAATGTTTTATGCCTTGTACAATTTAACTTGCCTTATTTTGAAGCCCTGAAGTTCCTGCATGCCACTTTAAGCAAGCATCTTTCTAAATAAGAGACTAAGATGTTGTTAAATAACCATAATTTCTCTTTATTGTCTTTCAGTTCTTGTAATAAATGATTACAGATTGATCACATTAATTTATGACTCACCGATTATCAGGCAGAAAGAAACTTGATGGAAAACGGTACCATTCCTTGCCAATGCATACATTAATGCTTTGGTCTGATGGCAGTTTCCTCTCTGTAGTTAAATTGTTGAGCTCCATAAACAGATCCAAAGGGGCATGGTACCCTGCATAAACATATCTCATTGTGTGAGCATGCAATGTGATCAAAATGTTATATATTTAAGGAGTTAAATTCACTTACATAATTCACAAGTATCCATGGTTGTCAGCTGGGTTGTGACCTTGCAGAAAACCAAGATATAAATGTTGCAGAAAGAGTCTGAAGCTGCATTCCCAATGTGTCATCACATCAATTTCACATTTAGAGTTACAATTATTCATTAAAACATTTTGCACAACTACCTTATACAAAAATTTATTTTCCTAAAACATTATACTAATAAAAATTCCATATTTTCCAAGACCTTCCTGATGTTCCCAAGTTACAAATTTGCAAAGCCATTGTGTTACTTTGTCAATGGCAAAATTGAAAACTAACATGATGTATGACATCTAACAACAAGCTATACATACCAAGTGTCACAAAAACGGGGCAATTAGGGTTTATCCTATTGCTGTCTGTAACTGAATCATTAACAGACAGATGGAAAGACACACAACTCATTAATGAAATGTATTTAGAATAAAAGCAATACACATCCTTGTAAAAAAATAATAATTTCTCTCACCATTGTAGATAGCAAGTATCCTTGCAACACTCAGAAAAGAACAGGTGAGAATCGCCAAAACCATAATTGGAGCAGTATGAGTTACATAATGAGTTCCTCTTTCAACATCTCGCACACAGAAGCAGAACCAAAGTTTCTGAATGGCATCTACTGTGATAGAACCACACAAGCAGATCAGGGGGTACACTGGGAACAGGAACCGTTCCTCCTAGAAAGATAATCAGATTACTTTTTACAATTTTCATAATGTTACTTTACTTTTACCCCATTTAAAAATACAATTTACCTTTAGTCTACCAAGCAATAATAATACAATAATATAAATGATAGGACATCAAAGACACACCTTGTGAGGCTGAACGAAGAATACAGCACCCCACAGATAAAGTGGCATGAGAGATAACCAATATGGAAAACAGGCAGGATTACGTGGTTTTGAAGGCACCAGCCATGCAACCATCATCTGCAACATACAATCAATATTATGCATTTGTAATAATGACAACGGTTCATGCACTAAAGTTCACACTTTCATGACACACAGCTAAAAACCCACTGCTCACTGTTAATCAGTCCTTACTGCACCATGGCTCTAGAATAAGTAACGCCATGTCCACACCTTCCAACTCTATTTCCCTAAGATTTATCCTAACACTTTGCTTGTTCCATTTAAAATACTAGTGTGTTTAATTAAAATCCATTAAGCAACAGAGCTTTTCTAGTGTGCAGAAGAGCAGAGAAAATATTAAATTTTTCTCAACTCAGAGTGAACAGACATTACAGTAAACCCTCATACAATGCAGGGGTTTAGACTCCTCGAGAATGGTACATTAGGTAAAACCACATTGTACAAAATTAATAGCTAATAGGTTAATTGGGATTATGTGAATGCAGCCTTATGAAGTCTCTCATTAATACCTAGATACATACATTTTTACACACACAAAACTGAATGGTCATATGTATACTGTATGTGAAATAAAAACACAACAAGACATAAAAGCATAATAAAACCACAAACATTATAGCACTTAGAAATGGTAAACAGTTTTGATGCCATACTGCTGTTTAAATATAACTTTTTTTAAAAAGAAAAGAAAGAAAAAAGAAAAGAAAGAAAGAAGCAAGAAATGGCCAAACTAATCCAACATGACTTTACTGAACTTAATGCAGTAGCACTGTAGTAGACAGACACAGAATGGTGAGAATTCAGAATTCTCACAGCAGTGAGTATGAAGATTATCGTGTTCCATGACAATTGCACCATGAGGTCTGGTAGAAGTCTACTAATTATCACTAAGTTAAAGTGTTAGTAAACTTCTACCACACTACATAGTGAAACATCCCAGAAGACAGACATCTTCAGACAAAGGGTGCTGTGAAAGTGATGGAGAGATCAGGAAAAAATACTAGAACATGTGCTGGCAGGTTGTGTACATTAAAATTGTTCACATTCAGCAAGTAACTGTTTGCATTTATTTCTGCATGTATGGGGAAATCTGCACTGGACAAAGGTTTACTCTAATTCAGGATGTGCCCAACGAAATATTATTGTCATGTGAACTTTCAACTAAAATTACCTGTTTTGCATTAAATTTAAAACCCATCATCATATAAATTCTACTATTATAAATAATAATATATGTAGATTATAAGTAATACTATATGCCAAACACTTACCAACATGACAGGTGTTAATAAAGCAGCAACAAAGACCAAGTTGAAATTAAGAAACACATTAATGAAGTAGAAATGGAACGGTTCAGTGCCATACAAATCTGGTCCATGAGACGTGAATACATTGTAATACACTATGTTGAATGGAGCCACCACCAAACGACCAAAGTATGAGGAGTCTAATTTTACCATGGGTAACTGCAAATCATAACAAGAAATCAATTAGCTAGGCTATTCCATCCATCCAATGGCACCACAGCCTGAGTCAGGCCTTGGCCTCCTCCCATGTGGGAGCTTTCCTAGTCTTTGAAGTGTGCATCTGTGAGTAGTGAGTGACAAGCCCAGTGCCTCTGCACAATTTCTACTCAATCCTGATTTGTCTGCTAGATTCATCTAGTAGAAAATCAGGAGAGACATGGGTGAGAAATGGCCACTCAATTTTGCTTACAAAACATCTCGTTCATGCTCGTAAGGTTCTTTTACATGCCATAAATCTATGACATGGGACTGCAAGCTTTACTTCCCCTTTGAAGGAAGTTGTGTAAATTAGGCACACACTTATCTACTGCATACACTACCAATTACTGGTAAGAAATTTAGCAAATAGCTCAAGGGAGTAGGACTTCATATACTCTTAGTGGATGGTTCTACATGTTACCCACTGTCTCTATTTTAAAATTTAAAATCTTAAATTAATCCCACCATTCACTCTATTATATTGGTTATCCTATTTAATGTGCCACAGATTGTGGTTTTGTGTTTCACTGCTTATTTTGCAGTGTTATTTGCTAGCTGATGCTGTTCTTCTATATCTTGTATTTTCTGCCTGCTTCTATACCTAAGTGATGAAAAATAGCTTATCTGGCATGCTTACAGAATAGACATCTCCCCTTCTCACTCTTTTTTGTGTTTTACCTGAAGATAAACAAAATCCAGTTTCCAAAACACAGTGTGTGTTCTACCTTAAGGCAGAGACAAAGCTAGTTTCCAAAACTCTGTATTTCTATTTAATCTTGAATGTTAAGACAATATATAATGTACAAATAGAAGACCCAAAGAGTGGTAACACACCACTGTCAACAAATTCTGAACCATAATCCATATACTGTGTCCTTCACTGGACTCTTATTCTGTGTCAAATATTTCCATCTTCCCTTACAATGTTCTATATTACCAGTCATTTTAAAAACACATTAATTCAATAACAGAGAAAGGGAAACAACGTACACATATCAAAAGTAAATTTACACATACGTTATACTTACAAGAATAACTACTACAGATATTACACTCCACTGGAGGAATTTGATAATTTCCCTTCTCTGGAAAAGCATGTCAACTGCTATGGGAACTCTGTAAAATATTAAAGTAATGAAATTTTATTTCACAAGATAGAAACATATTTCATTATCATAAGGACAATTTTGTTACAAATAAGGTTAATAGTTTTATGAAGAAAAATCTTAAACATAAAGCAGTCCAAACTGAAATCCTCAAAAATTAAACCAGTCAACACTGCCTATACTCTAAATCTGGGGAGACAAAAAAACACTTCAAACAGAAACTTCCCTCGTATGTAACAACCACCATGACAGACCATTAGGTCAATCCAGTTGTGTATTTGCTTATTAGGAGTAGTCTAAGTGAATTATGTACATCAAAATGTGGAAATGTTCCCTTGGCAACTAGCATTTTGATGTAAATGAAATATACCAGTTTAATTCCATCACCAGCAGAATGAATTCTACAAGAGCTCTCATTCCTAGTTGTAATCCAGCCATAAGAATCATATAAATTTGGTCTCCACTGCTCAATGCAGTACAATTTGAAAGATTTGTCACATATGTTTTCCAATTTCTATTCTGGAAAAAGAAAAATACAACAGATAACCTTTAAAAGGGTTGCTGAAATTCATGGAAATACATTTTTCTGCATACAGATATATTAATAAGATTGGAGCATATTATGTAAATATTCCACTACATAAAAATCATAAATTATCTTACCCTATCAACACAGCAAAAGGCCAGCTCAGAAATGTTGAGAGTGCAGTGGTAAATATGGCAAGTTCATATTTTCTATTATACCATGCTCCAAGGGATACCAGGCACATATACCTGTAAATAAATAGATCACAGAAACTAAACAACAATTTCAATTTTAAACAGTATCCATGAAATCAACCCAACAGATCTCACCTTAGAATCTTTGTAAGATGTAAGAATAACGCTACTTTAAAATAACTGCTATGCCACCATTAACTGATGAGGGCAGGTACAATAAAAAAGGAATGTAAAATAAAATTACTTCATCTGTCAAGAAACTATACCACAAATGTATTAACCTTGTGCAAATTCAGTACAACATTACTCCTCCCAAGCATCCATATGCTTCAAACCAAACAATTTTAACTGTTTATATGTCACAAAAACATATTTCTGCCTTTTATAAAATTCTACCAGTTAATAATGAACAGTAGTTAGCCTCTTCTAAAATATCAAAGGATTCTTCTATATGCATTCTTTCACGTACAAAAATTATAATGGTTCTCACATGGAAAATGATGAAGGCAGGAAAGCTGTACTTGATATGAACATCCCAGCACTAGATACAAGAAATGCCAAAGCTAAACGACCAACTTGAACTCCAAACTCACGACAGATACTCCTAGAATACAAACAGAAAACAAACTTTTATATACATCACTATCAGAACCACAGATAAAATAAATTTTGCACTAAACTCAGTAAATATCAGAAAGGGGTTTACTACACTGGAATTAAGCTATTTCCTTTCGGAGCACTTTCTCTAGAGTTCTTGTTGTTCTTTCTTGATAATTTCGCGTTTTTCGTCTATCGGTTTCTGTTGATATTTAATACTTCGTTTTTCAGCATGTTTTTTTTTGCTCTTCTGTTCTTATTGAATAAGTTTTTCTACATGTGTTCTTAATATGGTGTGTTGTTAATATGGTCTCGTTTAACAATGTAAGTCTTCTTTCGCTTTTCTTTATTTGTTAAATAGTTCTAATGTTTTAGTTCTTTACATCGCTGTTCAGAGGCCAACTGTTCTTAGTCAGTCACCTTTCTATGTCCAACTCCAGTCACCTTTCTATGTCCAACTCCACCCTTGCAAATCTTCGTCTATGCTATGACATGTTCTACATCCTTGGCTTAGGCCTCTGAAGGATTTATGGAATGTAATAAATTCCAATCTATTCTATGCAAACTGCAGAAACATAAAATCCAATAATGCATAGTCAGGGCTACACTACAGAAATTGAAACCTTTCACTGGTTATAACACTGCTCAACATACAGCCTTTTTCACACTGGAGTCTTCAGATTTGCACAGAAAGGGCTGATGTTCAAAAGAACAGAAAAATTGCAATAAAAGAAAATGATTCACTGTTCCCACATCTTAATTTCCTGTTTGAAGATGCGAGTAGCAAATCTTACAGATGATACAGAATAATAAATATAACCAATATAAATTATCTTAATAGTAAGTACTGTAATTTGTTTGGTGGCTAATTTAAGATCATAACATCATGTTTATACACTTACTTGTAGAAATAGACTTCACATAAAGCACAGAGCAGACCAAGTAGACAACGTGAAAAGTAGAAAATAAGAAGCCTGTTTGGCTGGAGAAGTTGATGGTATAGCCATGCAGGGACCACATGAATCAACAGATATGTATATGAGCGAAGAGCATATTCTGGGCTATATTCCCATGTCTGAAATCCCTTACCAAACAGCAAATAATGACTCTGGAACAAAATTTTAATGATAAAGGGCAGAAACCAGCATCTCAGGCATAAACTTACATTTACATGTTACCAATAAATTATGCTATGTCATATTACAAGTACAGACTGCAGTTTGTCAGTCCTTCCATTCCAGTAATTAAAGAATTAATGTTTATTAGTTTCTAGTGCTGTAACTTATATTATAACAAACAAGTCATGCGTTACCTTTTTGTTAACTACAGAATGTCCCATAATCTGAAACCATACACAATACAGTGGATTCCAGATAATTGGAACACATCAGGACTAGAACACTTTGGCCCCATTAAGCGGCTGACCCAATCATGCGAAGTTCAATGTAAAGAGTTAAAAAGGTTTGTTCTTTAAGATTTGCTCCAAATAAATGGCTGCCCTGATTAACTGACGGCCAAATTAACTGGAATCTACTGTATATGTCTTCTTTTTATTGCAACTGCGAGTGATGGCACTCAGTAAAGAATAACATACTGAAGTAATTCTGCTATAGGAATGTCACAGTCAACATGAATATACAGGAGTTGCTGGACATATTGAGCATGTTTTATAACTACAATACTGTCATTGGTTCCAGACTTAAGAAATTCTGTATAATGTAGAATTACTTGCTGAAGTGGCTTCAACTCCCTACAACAGCGAAATGTCTGAGTTTACCTGAAATTAACAAATTAAAAAACTTACTGGTTCCCAATAATTAAATGTTTCATCACAGTCAGAAATGTAATTCCATATTGCTGCACAAAATCGTGCTGACAACAACGCTTTGAAGGCTGTATCGCCACTTGGATAAACAATTCCTATGTCTGCTGGATTCGGAACTGAAGAAACTTCTTCAGTCCTAAAATAAACACATAAAAACAACCTGTATGTAAATGTAACCTAACTTTAATTGAAGTGGCTAGAATTAACAGGTACACTGATTTATCTATTTCATACAGTTACCAATGATAAATTACGAACTAATACATTAATAACTTTACCTCCCCAGTCCTGACGGTTTTCTACCACTTAACTTTTTCTGTTCTCTTTTCCCAATTAGCTGATTACGTTGACGCACAGAAGGCGCCATGACGGATAATCGCACGCGCTTGCAAGATTTCTGCTATCGATTTCTTCTTATAATACGTTCGTATTTCCAGCTGCCATGGATTTTCCAGTTGCTTAGCAACACGGTAAACATGGAAGAAGAATATACTTTTGTATATGTTGAAGATAAAACTTACAAGTGGTTTCATGACCGATCTATTCAAGAATTATTAATGAAATGGTTGGTTAATTTACGTCAAACACATGTTTAAAACCCATTTCTAAAATGTGACAGCTAATATTTTCCACTGACAGCAGACGACTGAGTCTCAGAAACTATGTATACATATTGGAGCAGAATCCCCTCTCCTCAAGGAAGTATTTAGAGCTGTGTAGTGACAAGCATAATAAATATGAAATGCATTAAAAATGTTAATTGGAAATCCCTATGAATTACACTACGTTGGTGATCAAATTTTAAATGGGAAAATTACATCAAAACATATTTTTGAAGTATCAGTTGTTAAGATTTGACAAGAGTATTTTCCATGGGCTTTCTTGATCAGCTGATTATTATCAACTGTTCAACAAAGACCACATTCATGGAATTAATTTCCTCATCCATTGACAATCCAGTAGTAATATTACTAGTAACCCACATCACCATTTTTTAAAGTACATAAAAACAGTTATCATTCATATCAAAATTCTAGTATCTGTGTTGTCCATTTCAAGGTCCTGTCCTGAGTCAAAGTCAAGATACCTAATTTTTCATGTTTGATTTCAGGTCAATGAAAGGAAACTTTAAATTACAAACATATTGTTTTAACCAGCCTTTCCAACCATATCAAAAACAAGTACTTGCAGATGCTTTCTTTGGTGACCCTATAGTAACATCTACACTACAAGGAATGTCACTGAACAATACATGGGCTCCAGTTGGTAAGTTAGTAACAATTTAAAAGCAAATCAGGGCAGTCAACAGAATTTCCAAATATTGACCTGGTAGCTGATCTTAAACATCCTTGCATACTTCCTTTTTGTTGGAACAGTTTTTCCATTAATTGTTGAGCATTAATGTTTTGTATTACAGTGTGAAAGTCTCCTGTAATTGGAGGTAAATAAATCAAAATGTCTTTTTTTCTCATTTCATAAAAAACTCACAATATTTGTACCCAGACATTTAAAAATATATGGTAAGCAATAATGAACAAACTTACAGAATTTTATGTATCAAGTATATAAACATAACTGTATTAACTAAAGGTTTTACTGTTTATATCCTCAAAAATGAAAGCAAGGTGTCACATCAGATCCAGTGTAGCCAGGTTGTTTCTTTCAAACACTTCATTTCCATTTGAGTGGAATTTGTATTTCACCACATCAGAACTCAGTATTTGATATTCTTTTCAATAGGTGTTACAGCTACATCAGTTGATGTGGAACTTGTCCCATGTTCTGTGACAACCATGTCTATGTTTAGTTGCCTGCAGAACTCATCGAATGGGATTGTTAGAGGTGATGGATGGCTTATGCAATGCCCATATGATGAAATTGATAACTACACTGTGACTGATGAACTAAGAAATGTAAGAACTTTCCTACTCACATAAATTTGTTTGAAGATAATTTTATCTGTATAAAAAAATTATGTTTCTGGCTGTCTCCATTTTTGGGTAGAAGGAAAAGGTACTTATTCTTTAATGCCTGTCACATGAATCCATTCCTGGTCACTTCAGTGACGAAGAATAGCTTTATCTAACATTCCCTAAGAGTCTGTACAATGGTAAGATTCAACACAAGTGAATATTAAATATTTGGTAGCTATACAAATATGGGTATTTCATTATTATAAGAAGTAATGAATAAAATCTGCATAGATATTTGGTATAGAGCGTTCTGGATGAGATCACAAATTCTTGCCCCCCTCCCCCCAACATGTCAAGTACAAACTTTGAACTGTGTTCTTCTAAACACTAGATTTGGAAATCAGATATCTCAAGCCTGGTCTGTACCACTTTTTATTATTATTGTTTTCATGTACTGTTACAGATGCTAATAAACAATGAATGTCCAAATTACAAGCTAATTTCAGAGGAACATCGTACTGAGTTTTTGTTTCATCTCTTTAAACACTTGTGCCTTGGAGGACAGTGGTGTCAGTATGAAGACAACATAAAACCATATCTTAGCACAACAAAACTACTCTATAAAGATATTATTAGGCAAGTATAACATTAAATTTATTAGAGACTGGGGGGGGGGGGGGGGGGGGGGTCAAGTGTATTTGAGATGTGTGTGCTGAAAACAAGGTGACATACAATAAACGTTCTATCTTATGACAAGTGACTTTAGATAATGCTTCTTAAATGTGTGTTGTATGTCTATGGACACTTTTCTAGTGTAATTCCTAATTTAAACAAAACTCACACTGAACTTACCATTTTTCTGAAAAAGGCTCAATATACAAAAATGTATATGAAATGCAAGATCCATAACTTTCATTCCATATTTTTTCAGTACAATATATATTTAACAAAATATATGGAAATACATTTTGTGACTCACCTCAGTGGTATCTGTACTGATTGCCTTTGGAGTAAAAGATTTTTCTGCTGTGAATGAACATGAAGGCTAGTACCCAAATATGCAAGATTGTAAATAATGGATGGGAAAAATGTCTAATATAGGTTGGGAGCACATTCTTCCATTCTTGTTTAATGTTCCACAGAAAGATTCATAGGTTTTTCTGGAATACTGTTACAGATATCAAGTGCCTTTTCATTTATCCTGTTTTGAATTTGTTTTTCATCACTTTATAAGCCTGGTATCTTCTTGAACTCATAGTTTAAAAAGAAGTTTTCCAGAGATGTAAGTGTTAGTCCTTTTGAACACCACAGAGCTCTTGTTTATATTCCATATATATTACATTTTTGTGTTACAGAGTGCAGAAAAATCCAGCTACAAAAGAAGTGAGTGTAGTTTCCACAGTGCTAAAAGTTGTAGCAAGAGAAAATGACAGAATGGCATACTTTCCATGTAACCCAGAAAATGAGCAGAATTTTGCTTACCTCATTGTTGATCCCCTGAATCAACAGATTACTACTTTAGTACACCATTATGGTGGAACTTTTCAATGCTAAAAAATGGAACATGGAAAAGTTCTACATACAAACTTGAAGTTTTCAAATGGTCTGCAATATATCCACAAACTCATCTCACAAGAGCAATTTAAAGCACTGTCATATGTGTTGTACATGCATACACACATTGCATTTATTGTATATAAAATAAATATCGTTAAGAGAGTTGTGATGTCTTGCACTGTGTGTGTGGGAAGCACATGAGATATACTGCTAATGAACACAGGCAAGTTATCAGCATCCAGTGTTCAATTCCGTGAGTTAAACTAAATATAGAATCTGTATGTTGTACAAGAATCTGAATCCTCCTTTTGATATCATGGCACTGAAGTCTAGAACCAGAAAATTATTTTTGTGGAAGAATGTTACCTAAGGTCAGTTTACAAACATAATGCATACTGGCCCACAGAGATCTCAGAGTGGAAATCATTTTACTACTATGTTTAAGGCAAAAGGTTGAAGTCAGATTATTTTTGTGGTTTTGGAAAAGATTCATTGTTGCATTAATTTACTTTAATGTGTCCAACATTTCATTTGGTTTTCAGATTACACAAGATTTATTTATTCAGTCTGTTACCTCATATGTATTAATGGAATGACACACCACCATGATCTTTGCACGATTAAAAGTAAGCCTCACAATGCAATTTTATACTATTCCTTCACTCTGAAAAGAATCCACAAGATTGGAGGAAAGAACTACACAACTTGAAGACTTAAAACATATAAATCATAGTAAATAAATGTAGTAATAAGTAATGAACCAATGGAGGGAGGAATATGACATTTGGTATGAAGAAAAATTATAAAAACACCTACAAGTAATGTGTTTCCTCATACAGAAAATATAATAATTTATATGTAACATATTTACAACTGCAAGCAATAAGAAAAGAATGAGATGTGTAGGATTCCAACCTATAAGCATTTTCTCAAAAGCTTAGCATGCACACCCATCAGCTAAATTACATTTTGCTTTTAGAAAATAAGCATAAATTTAAACATAAACATTAACAACACAAGATCTGTAGGACTGGAAGGATGTGCAATAGGAGATTAGGTTTTGATGTCTGTCTGGAACTCTTTTTTTATCTGGCCTTTTTGTAAAGAAAATGTTATGTATTGTTTATTGTATGTTATGCAATATAAAATAAAAACTGGAAATGTGTGGATTAATTCACTTTCTGTACAGTACAAGCCAAATTTATTCTAACAGTATTTATACAGCCACTCCAAGAAATCATCATACCAAATGGAACTTCACAATTAATAAAACAAAGCATATTGTACACCTTAATTTGAGTATCACGAATATAAATATTCATTTGAGAGATCTTCTGCCAGATACCGATTTCAATCGTACACACTTATAATGCCAAGCATGCAAGCCATTCACACACATTCCATCCAATATCATCAGGAACATTTGTTTTCCTATAAAGCTATTCCTGCATATTACTTAGAACATAGCTTTATGTTAAGTATATGAAGAACACTGTTTTAATTATAAAAATACTTTCATAGACAGTGGTCACCTGGGCTGTTGCACCATCTCTTTTGGATGCACATCAATGTTTCAAAGGACACACTGCCTCCATCTTCAGCCACAAAAGATTCATAGTGCAAGAACCAAGAAGACCACGACCTCAAATCCTACAAATACATTTTTTTCAAGTTCCTCAAGCCCTACATTTTCCTGGATCAGACAGAGTTAGTGAAGTCTGTCAAACACGTTCCTTTTTCACACAATGCGATCCCACATTTGACAAGAAATGATAGTTTATTGATATTAGGGAACAAATGAAATCATGTATTATCATATCTAATTAACCAGCAGTCATTAGCAGGCTGTAAAGTTTACACTTTTCAAATGTTTCTTGTACACGTCCAACTTAAAATAAAAACAATCATATTATTCTTCTTAATACACATCTACTTCAAGTAAGCTCACTCAATTATGAAATTTGGTAAAGATTCCCAGATAAACACATCTCCTGTTTAGAACACAGCACCACAGAGCATATAATCAGTATTGCAATTACAACACTTATATTTCAATGCAAAGTTTCACTTCACTGAGGACTATATTTCAGGCCTGTCAAACCTTTCTTATGATTCCAAACCACTAAAATAAACATATTTTACTTTCAAATATTCTATAGTATATTTTCCTTCTCAGAATGAGATATAATAATTTCTAAATGCAAATAAATCTACCACAGGCAGCATCAAGGTGCACTGTGGGCAACATTATAACATGAGCTACATACGAACTTCAGAAATCATAAAATATGATTCATCACAGTTTGGCCCAGTAAAAGTACTGATTATAGTGACAATTGATACTTTGGCACACAGAATAGACATATTTACATTATAAGGGGACAAGAACCGTGGAAAGAATGCGAGTCAATACTAGTCATCTCCCACACAATTTATTCCTTAGTACATGGGTTCATCCTATGAACAAAGCACAGTATTATAACTTATTAAACCTATCAAGTCTAACTTCTCAAATAATTAACTTGGAAAGACTGGGAAGAAAAGTACCAGATTTCCTTTTGTAACTACTGCTGACATACATTGCAACAGGGAAAAGGTAAGGTATATATGAGGAAGGGAATCCTAATTTGCACAAAATTGACCACAGCTAGCCGCAGACTAGCTACAGCCACCAAACCATCGGATCAATAGCTAAGTGCATAGTTCTACTATGTGAATAACAGCATCTAGTGCAGTATCGCTTTAAATACTTTTATGAAATGCCTTATTTATTTTCTAAATCCAGTTTAAACCAGTAGATTAAATGAATTAATTTCCTTGATGCCACTGATCACCTCTTGAGGTTGAAACGCGTATGGCAATAGTGTCTTTTTTATAGTGTTAATAGTTGTTTGTTTACTTATTTTATATACAAAAGTGACTGTTTAACATAATTAAGATAATAATTAAATCCAATTGTTTCTAAACCTGTCTTTAAATACCCACTAGAAGAAAATCATTTCATACAGTACCAAATACCTGTACATTCATGAGAACAATGACTCTGTGAGAGAATCCAAATTAACCAATTTGTCAACCATAATATGACTTACATTCTCCAAAAATGTATTACTTTTCTTCCAAGTTTTCCCAGTATGTACATTTAATGGAAATATCTATTTGTCATTTTCAGTCATATCAAATTTACAGAAATCTAGTATAATTTATGTCTCGTGAGATAAAGTTACTTTATTAATCTGTTCCCTTAATGTACTGGCTTACAATATTAGGTTAATGGTCTAAAAGCTTGGAAGCTTTCAACCTTTATTGTACAAGAACAGGAGATTGGCCGGACTTTTAACTTTAAATCCAGTGTTAAGAGATTATCGGTAAACTAAAGAGCCATCATCTCACCTACCTGAAACATATGCTTATTATTAATTATTTGGTTGTGGTATTTAAAAATAACTGTGTAAAACTGCTCATTAAGGTAGGTTTACATCTGGAAACATGTATCAGAATATGTATGACACACGTCTTCTGGCAAACTGCACAAATGCTTACAAATTTTTGCATGAGAAATCCCTCACATCCACTTCTTCACCTAATATTATTAGGGTAATAAAACTGATTGTGAGATGGGCAAGGCATGTTGCATTCGTGGGAAAGAGAACACTTGTGATATTTACATTTAGATGTCCCAACAATATAAAAATTTATCTTGAAGAAGTGGAGTATGTTGTGGACTGGATTAATCTAGCTCAGGATATAATCCAGTAGCAGGCATTTGTAAAAACAGTAACCAACTTTCACGCTGCATAAATAGGAATGGATGATCTTAACCAGGTTAGTAAGTAAAGCTTCTCAAGAACTCTGCTAGTTAGTTTAAGTTGTTACCATTCTAATGAATGTGACACTGAAGTACCCTTAAAGAATGTTTAACATATTCACAATGATCTGAAAAATCTTTGGTTATAGCATTTCTCCAACCTGGGAAAGAAAATCAACAAACAGAAAGTAATAATGAGATCAAATATGCTGGATTAGCAAGCCAGCTGCATAAACCAGTCACAGGCAATCTTAACTATAATGATAATATATTACTTATAAGTTAAATAATATAAGCCTTATTAGACACAGTGAACTGTATAACAGGGATGAATCCAACCATACTCAATCTGGAGAAACTATAAAACTCCTCACCTTTCATAAATATGGATCATGTTAGCACAACAGAAATTAGATTCCTTTCTGCTGCCCATTATCACTGCTAATTGTGACCATTTTTGTTATCTCATCTGTTTTCTGGCTTATTATGACCAAAAATACATATAAGGTTACCCACTCTTTACTCAATGTTTCAGGTATTCCTATTCTTTTGGTGGCTGAGGCAGAGGTGCCTTGCAAAAGCAATAAGGAAGTAAGTGATGCTGCGAGTGTTCAATACAGTGTGCTGCTGACCCATAACGGTTGATCCGACTTATATCTGAGATCTGTGAATTAAAACACAACCTGAATTTTACCAATAAGTTCAAACTGAAGAAATAATCATATTATGATCTATTTGGAATTCCTGTACAGTGTGCTACACATATATACATGCATAATTACTGTGGACAGGAAGAAAGCTTTTGGTACACTGTGATTCCAGGATACTTGTACTGAGCTCACATTATAAGTGTGATACATAATTCACATCAAACAAATGCGACTCATGTATAAAAGAACACTGACACTAAAAAAAGAAAATAATAAAAATGTGTGTATTGTAAATGAGGCTTGTCTTACTCTGATTGTAAAGCTGTCATCTTTTACATCATACTTCATTGAAACTTCAAACAAGCCACCACCTGGCATTGTGGAGACCTTTAGTTGGTACACTTCCTGTGTCACTACTGTATGTGCTGACATATCAGCAACAAAGCCATCAATGTCGGCATTCTTCTGAAACCTGAGAAGTCCTTCACTAGGAATCAACTTTGCTGCCCACTGAATGCGTTCCAGGTGGAGATCAGCACAAACATCACGCTGTGACTCCGTCAAACTATCAAGAAAGCAGGAGAAAATATGGCTGAATGTACAAAATGCAAATTAGGACTTGTCAGATGCTGCTAAGAAACTATATCTTGGATACAAGTGAAGAGAGACTTGTAGTTCACATTCACTTGAATCATACTTTTAGGCTGAAGATTAAGCAATATGTTCAGCAACATCAGGGTTTTAAAAAAACAGACTGATATGCTACCAGCAGAAAGAATAACCAGAATAATCAAAACAGAGCAATTGGCAACGTGCCTGGCCAATGCTGCTTTGAGGTGGACAGCACTGAATTCTGATTGGAGGGATCAAGTCGTGACTATGAACACTGCACACTGTAAAAACCTTCACCTGTTCTCAAGCTGTTCCATGCATACAAAAATATACAGAGCAATTTTAATAGGCACTCCACAGGGATGTCAACACACCTAAAAGTGGTTATATAATTCAGCAACCAGACCAGGGATGGAGAGAAGCTGGTAATGTGAGCCATGGAAACATACTTCTAAAATCCTTACCAAAATACTGTTCAGTAAATTTTCACTCTTACATTCAATATCAGGAATGCAAGAAGTCCAAATAAATAAAATTGCATTCAAAAGCTAAGAATGTTTTTAAAAATATCTGTTACACAAAGTCTGAAAAATTTGAGAACCATAATATGGATATTTCAGTGTATATAATAATCAGTGGTTGGGTGATGACTGGCAAGGTTGCAATAAAGGATAACAAAAACATTCACACTTTTTTTATAAATAATTTCAAATGTCACATTTTCAACACATTCAGAACTGGGATAAAGGTAAATATGTTATTTAAATATGGTATCAGTACACACACAAAATTAAAAAATCTGCAACATAAAATTTACCAGTTTCCATATTCCAATGTCACATCTGTATTCTTAATACACTTACTTGTTGACAAAATCTACAAAAGCCTTTGCACCTCTGACCACCAAGCTGTCCTGCAGGTTTACTTCCTGCCAGTCAAGGCAAGCACACCAATGCGGCTCAATATGTGCATCTGGACATGTCCTCTCCAATGGCACCTAAAGTAATAATCACGCTGCATATTAACAAAAGAACAGAAGTTTTACAGTTAT